GCGTCCCCTCGAACCGCCCCAGAACCCGGACCTCATCAGTGTTGCTGCTGCGCCAGCGCAGCAGCCCCGTGACTGAACCGGGGGCCCTGCCACCCCGCCTGCCATCCACCAGGTGCCATCTATGGGTGGGTGGCGTCGGCTTTCCCTCCTCAACAGCTCAGGGGCCCGTGTGTTTCTCCCCACTTCCACTGTCCCCGCCTGGCCAGCCCCGCTCAGCCGCCGCCTCCCGACACGTCACACCCCTGCTCGACACTTCAATGGCTTCCTGTTGCATTCGGAAACAAAGACTCCTTTCTTCGTAACACTTACTTGAAGGGATGCCCTCATGCACGCACGTGATTGCTTGGTAAATGGCTGACTCCCCAGCCACACAGTGAGTGCCCTGAAAGCAGAAACCACGCCCCTGGCTTTGCACACCGCGCGCGCACACAGCTGGCATTCAATTAATATTTGTTTAATTAGGTGGATAAGCAATTAAAATAATTAACGTCTGGCTTGGGCCAATGAATGGAGAGCGGTGCCATTCACTGCCACAGGGACTGAGGGAGGAGGGCGAGCAGGGGGTGTGGCCGTGCAGACTCTGTGGGCCGCGGGTGGGGAGGGGCGCGGACGCCCGGCAGGCGCTGGAAATGGAGGCCCGAGGCTTGCGGGCTGACTGGAGCTGAAGTGAGCTGCGCCCCGGGCCAGCCCCACCACCTGCCCCCTCGCTCTGCCTGTCAGCAGGGGCTGGTGGGATCTGCCCCGTCTCCCTCTCTGTAGTCATCTGCATGAAGTGGTCCCCGCGGGGCCTGCGTGGAGACGGGCTGAACACGCATGGAGCGGGCCTACTGGGCTCCGCTCTGGGCGCGGCGCCCTTCATCGGGCGGGTAGGCAGGGGTGCTCCGGGAAGGCTGGCCGAACCCGACTGGGAGCCTTTTGGTGTAAAACACTTTCAGAAAAGAAAGAACACAGCTGTGATCCTTGATCACATTCATTCATTTTATTCTTTGGGGAACTTGGAATCCATCAAGCATATCAAATGATGGCAAATGATGCCAGACTATGCCTCATTTCAAACTGCTGATCTGATGGAAACATCAGCGCGGCTCTAAAAATAATTTTTTGAAAAAACCTTGCGGTTCTGTTCTTTTACATTTAAATTAACTTCCGCCACAGATATCATAATTATCTGAAAAGTCTCCTCTTGTTTCCGAAGCCGCCATGTGGTTTCCTTATGCTGCGGTGGTGGTCGCGGGAGTTGCCCCTTCAGTCTCTGCCAGCCCCCACCCCAGAGAGCCCCGGGCCCGCCCACGGCCAGGGCCCCGCGGTGTCCAGGACGGGATGGCCCCGCATGGCAGGGGGCCGCTGCGTGCACCGTGCGGTGTGTGCAGCGCCCCCCTCAGCCTCCGAGATGCCACCGCCACCCCACCTGTGTCGGGTTCTCAGAGGTTCGGTCCCGACTCAGTCAGCGGTCTCCCCAAGATAAGAGAGAACATGCCCTGTGGGTGTAGTTGTGAATAAAAACGCGGGATGTGACTTAACTTGGGGCCTCCTGTTGCCTCCAAGTGTGGACTCAGGCCCCGGGCTGATGTCTGTAAGGGGCACCCTGCCCTCGGTCATTTATCAGCTTCAGTGGCATTTTCCTGAACTGCTGTGAGGGCAATTTGGTGGGCCAGGCAGGAGTGGTCTTACTCAGCAGCCAGAGGGGTGCTGAGGGCCAGTCTGGGTCACTGCAGGGTCCCAAGGAGGGTCTCGTGTCCGAACACATCCCTCCGCCCCTGTGGCCCCACTCGGACCCCAGCAGGCCCTCCGCAGACCTGGCTCCGGGAGGCTCGGGGCCCACCCGCTGAGCTTGGTTTCAGCTCCAGCCGACTCCCCCAGACACCACTCACCCCAGAACAGAGTGCCCCGGGCCCTCACAGCCTGCTCTGCGCCTGCGTCTTTCCTTTGTCACCTGCGAAAGAGCAGCAGGGCTCCCCGGGTCCGAAGCGGCCACACCCGCCCCGGCAGGGAAACCTCCTGGCTTTGTATCTGAAGCAGGAGTAACTGCCGTGACCTGTCCGAGGCCACAAAATGCAGGCACGAAGGCCAGCGTGCTCTCTAAGCCCTGAGGACTGGTACGCCAGGCGGTCTGCTTGGAAATCCGTCCTCAGTCCAAGGAGGGTGTGTGGACCGTAGACAGTGACATTAGGTGTCTGGGACAGTTAGTGGCACCTGTGGGTGGGAAGGCTGTGGGGAAGAGGAACAAAAGAAGATGTCCAGGTGACGCACAATTCCTCACGGCCGCTGGTCTGAACTGGAACCTGATCCCTCATTTTCGGGTCACAAAAGACGAGGTGGCCGTGGCACTGCAGATGCAGGTCCCCTACACACGCCCAGCGAACCCCAACCTCCAGCATTTCACACGCGCGGGAACGCGTACGTCCACCCACAAAGGAGGGGAAACAAGTAACACAGGGACATGGAATAGAATACGCTAGGGGACTCCGCTGTCTAGTCTAGAAGACACAGGCGGTCCCTGTCCAGAGACAATCGAGAAAACCAGCCACTACGACAGTATCAGTGACCAATGCACCTGGAGGGGGGAGGTGTCAGAGGCCACAGGGGAGGGGACCCAGACCCAGGGCCCCATGGCAGACGCCGAGCAGAAGACATCCAGGAGCCAAACCCTTCCTTTGCCAGAGCCCGTTCCTCCCCCAAGGTAGCTGGTGGGATCCTACCCTAAAACCCAACCAGGGGACCTAGAAGGGGCGGATCAGAGTTGCACACCTGGCTCATGTCACCTGAATAGCACGAGAGGGCAACGCCTCCAACCTCCTGTCTCGTCACCTGGACCCCGACTGAAGGGAGCCTGCGGAGCACGGCGGTCAGCCGGGAAAGCGGGACCGAGGGTGGGGTGCGGCGGACAGGGCTCGGCTCTGACCTTTGTACCCTGGGCCCAGAAGAGCCGCAGAAATAAACATCAGTGCCTCCCAGCCCGTGTGCCTGTGTTTACCAAGCTCTTACTCTTTGCAAGGAAACGATCTGGGGAGAGGGGTGAGGCGGGAGGAGCAGCAGGCCTCCTCAGAGCCACCGCACGGAGGCCCCTGGCGACACGCTCGGGCGCCCCGACTGCAGGTGACTCTGAAACCTCCCTCGGGCTCAACCCTAGAGCCGTATCCCTCGAGGCTCCTCCACCTTTTCTCCCAAAGAAGTTAAGAGAGTCACGCCGGGCAAGGACAACACGCCCCACAGGTCTGAGTGTTACCGCAGGGGACTGGCCAGAGAAAAGGCGGTGGACAAGAGGAGAGGGGACACCTCAGAGAATTTCACTGGAGAAGCTGTCACCAAGCTCAAGCTCTCTGGTACTTGTGCCAGCAGAGAAAAGACACGAACATCACTCTCTGCCCATCGGGCCGGGGTTGACCAAGTCTAAAAACTACCCGGCAGCCACGCCATATTTATGCCATAGCTCGCAGGACAGCAAAGCGGACGAAACAGCTCTGAGCAGACAGGGCAGCGTACGTATGGACACATTACATAAACTGCCTCTCGGACTTTATTCCTGTTTCCAAGATAGACCTACATTGGACTAAAATATCTTCATTTAACTTGCTTTACTTTTTCTAACGTCGTAACGCTTAAATCTATCCGTTTGTCACTGATGTTTAAGCTGCTGAACAGGTCAAAATCGCGGTGACGGGGGCGGGCAGACGGGCCCAGCTGTTTTCAGACCAGCCGCTCTCCCTCTCAGGGCTCCGGACGGAGAACCCCGTCTGCCTTGGCGAGGCTCACTGCGTGTGGAGGCTACGGAAGCCTCCTCCTCGGAGCCGTGCAGGCTCCTTGCCTCCGCGCCCCCGTGCCCCGCCTCAGCCCGCGCCCCGAACCGAAGCAGGGCCCCGCCGCTGCTCCTCCGCTGCCCGCGGTGCTGTCCTCTCTTCTCTGCTCCAGGCAGGGCCCCCCAGCTCGGCCCCCTACCTGCCCCCAGCCTTCCTCACCCAAACATGGCTGACAAGTCAGTCCTCCAGAACCGTGGTCCCGGGCCTTCCTGGTCAATACCTGAGGGGGCTCTTCGCGTGGAAGGAGTCTGTCCTTCCTTCCCAGCCCTGTGGGGCCTGGCTGCAGCCACCCAAGTCTGTGGGACCCAGCTGCTCCCTCTTCTATCCCGGGCTCCAAAGCGACACCCAGGCTGGGAGCGGGTCCACCTCCACGTACCTACCCCTTCCCCCTGCAAGTCCCCTCAGCCCTGGCTTCGCGTGTTCACACCCTCGGGTTCTTCCCAGCCGGGCTCCAGCAGATGCGGACTCCAACAGCGCCCTGCAGCCGGAAGGGACCCTTCACTCCCAACCCTCCGGCCACGCTGCGGGCTGGCCTCTGAGTGCCTCTGCGCCCTCCCAGGGCCCTGGCACCAGCCAGGCGTGCCGCGGCCACCGCCCGGCGCCACAAACTCCCGCGCGGCCGGCCCAGGCGACCCCCTCCAGTCCTCGCCGGCTTCGGGCAGTCGGTCCCCCGCACAGGGAGGGCATTTCCCAACTGAAATAGGATTTCCTGGCTATGCTTGCTTAACAGGTGACTCTTCCCACCCACCGGCCCGGGAGCGCTTTCCCTTCTCCAACTCCGGGGGGATGAGCTGTGGCCACAGACCTGTGGATCCCAGGCCAGGAGCCCAGGAGGCCGAGGGCATGACTCGGGCGGCCAGGATGTTGGGTCTGTGCGCATGTAACACGGGGACACGCAGTGGTCCCTTGTGAGGGCGCCCGGGACCAGGTGGGCGGGGAGAGCGGGGCTGTCCTGCTGGGTCCTGGCTCCAAACTTTCCCTCCCCGGGTCCCCGCGCGCGCGAGGACAGAGGCCGAGAGCCCGGGCAGGAAGAAAGGTGGCATTTTCAGAGCGTGAGGGGGTCCTCTGGCCGTGCGGGGTCCAGGTACGCGAGGCCCGGCCGCGCTGAGGACGGGGACGCGATGCCGGAGCCCGGGCTGCGCGTGCTGACAGCCGCCCCACCGCCGCCCGGCCCCGGCTGCGCGCTCCAGGCCCGCTACTTACCCGGAGGGTTGACGGCCGCCGGGGTGGCCATGTCGCGGGGGGACGAGGAGGCCCTGCGCGCGGAGCCCGGGCGAGCGCGGCCGGCGCACCACACAAAGGCCGGCAGCTCCGCGGCCTCGCGCCGCCGCCTCCCCGGGTCCCGCCTTTGTCGCGCGCCGGGGGGCGCGGGTCCGGCCGTAGCACCGCGAGACTTGGAGCCGCGGGCGGTGGGCCCCCCGCGCTGGGGGCAGGGCTGCGGGGAGGCGCAGGTGCTGCGCGCGGGACCACGGCGCCCCCTCGCGCAGGCGCTGCTCAGCCTGCCCCACGCCCGCGCCCGGGGTCCGGCCGGGAAGCGACCGAACGCCGTACCCCGCCCGCGGCCCGCGCGCAGCGTGGGGGGCCGCCCGCGAGGATGCACCGTGTGCGCCGCCCGGCGGGATCCCCGAGGGCCGGGCGCCGAGGACCGCGCCGTAGAGGCAGCGCCCGGGGCCGAGCGAGGCACTCAGCTCTGCTCTCTCCGCGCCTTGGGGCCTGTCAGGGGCTATTGGTTGCAACTGACTTATTGACACAACCCAACTGAGAATTTAAAAAAATATGTAAAGTGGTTTTATCTGCATAGCCTGCTGGAGTTGGGCTGCAGAGAGCTCGGAGGGGGCGTTTTACTGCAAGACCCCGGGGGTCCCTGTGAGAAACCGTGGCTCTTCGGCAGTAACCGCCACCACACGGGTCCCCGTGAAGGGTACCCAGAAAAATGAGTACCTCGCAGGTGGGAGTCCCCAAGGGCAGGACAGCCCCTAATGCAGACACGCTTGCCAAAACACCAGACTGTGGTAAATCCTCACAAAAGGAGCATTTGGGGGGGGTCGAGGCACTTTCAAATAAGCATTGTCTTCGGGCAACATTTGTCATTATTGATCGGACTAATAGGCGCTTAAAGATATTCATTTGTTTATCGATTCCACAGACTGTCTGCATGCCCCGCATGAAGCTAGGTGTTGGGAGGCCCAGGAAGGAAGCCACAGCTCCAGCCTCCCTGGGCTTGGCGGGCTCGGGGGGTAGCGGAGCCCGAGGTGGTGCTTGCTCCCAGGAAGCACGCAGCTGCCCTGGGGGGCCGTGCTCTCTGCTGAGTGAACGAGGGCAGAGAGCTGGCGTGATGAGGGACAATGAAAACGAGGCCTCGAAGGAACGGGTAGGACGTGGAGAGGTGGAGAGACGTGGAAGGAGAGACAACCACGCGTGCGCCCAGCAGCAGGCTAGGCCAGGCCCAGGCAGATGAGGCTGAGGCAGACCAAGGAGGACCACAGCTGGGATCCCCGTCCTCGTATCCGGCAGACGGGCCCCGGATTCCCCGGCGTGAAGCCAAATGACAAGGCGGCCTCTTCCACGTGCCCCCAAAGACAACACACTCAAATACCCCCGCGCACTTAATTCACTGTGGACGTCGCTGCAGGAGGAGGCACGGCTCACTGCGTGTCACAGGAGGTGAACACCCGCCCGAGAGGACCCCGCTCCCCGCAGCGGCTCCCGTCTGGCCCCGCTCTGGCCCCACAGCACCCGGCACCCCGGCACCCCTGCGCCCACCTCCCGCGGAGGTCTCTCCATTCTCCAACTGCGCACACCTCTCCGAGCCAAGCAAGTTCCACTCCTGGGTGTTTACAAAGCAGCCACCACATGCCAATCATTTGGGTATTGTCTCCAAATATTTTCCTAATATCCTCCAGGGAGTCTGTCATGCTGTGGTTTTCGGTAAGTCATAAGTAAGTCTGAATTTTAACAGAGAAGGAGACGTTTCATCGCCTCCCCCAATGACGGCATCTCAGAGGTAGAAAGGACCTTTGACATCACCCAGTTCAGCCCTCAGAGTTTGCAGATAAGGGAACAGAGGCTCAAGGTGGAGAGGTGACCTTCCCAAGGTCACGTAATTCAGGAGTTAGACCAGACTTCAAACTGAGTCACCTCCAATGCTGGGACTTGGTGGGTGCAGTCAGGGTGGAGGCGCAAAAGGGTGGGGGGTGATTTGGGCAGTCACTTGTTTTCCTGTGTCTCAGTGTTAAGTAGATAAATACCCAGAAACATCGATTATGGATGAGAGCCCCACTCTTGAGTCTGAAATGGAGCGGTTAGTTGCTGTTGAGTACCAAGGCGAATACACAATACAGTGGGCCCTGCTAATTATGAGAGTTAGTAGACTGTGACCAGTTAACAGGCCCAGGAATTCCACTCAACCTTTAAACAACCTAGAGCTCTTTTATATTCCAAAGAGGATATTGAGTTTGAAGCTAAAGTTTGCAATTAAAAAAAAAAAAAAATTAGCACAGACCCACTGGGCCTGCAGCAGGGGATCCTGGGCACTGTCCTCCCAGACATGACCCGGGCTGCCGGCCACAGTTCTAACAACCGGGTAGGAGAGAGCGGGCGTTTGTAGGCGGCGTCCTAGCCCTTTGATACAAGAGACGGGACTTCCTTTGTATACTGTGTAATCATTGAGGAATTTTTATCTTCTCTTAACTCTGAGAGCCAGGGCCTGGGAATGGGCACATGGCCTTCCTCTGAGGGGGAGGGCACGGTGGGGCAAACCGCGGGCTGCTGGGACCGCAGGCTGTTTCTCCGGCCACGTGCTCTCTCTGCTCTCCACACTCCCTTACTTCTTTCTCGCCTCTTTGTTAGCCGGAGAAAAAGGCCTGTAGGTCTCTGTCATCTCCAGTGCCGCCTCCTTCTCTGTAACTCAGCACAGGCACCAACGGACCCCCGCTCTCCGCCTAGGGGGATGCGACCTTGGTTCTATGCAAGAAGGCTTACGCGCTGGCCTCGGCAGCACACGGCGTGGGGCGTTTGCTCTGTCCTCACTCTGTTGCCCCTGGAACTGCGTTCGCCCTCTTCGGCCTCACTTTCCCCCTCTGTGAAATGGGATCGGTATTCAAGAGTGTGCTCAGTCACAGGGAAGATTCGACTGAATGTGGTCACAGGTGCACACCACACACTTTTGAGACACAATGCCGAGGGGACGAGAGAGAGACACAGAGAGAGAGAGAGAGAGAGAGAGAGAGAGAGAGGCAGTCCCGCCCACGTGTGCCTTCTCAGGGAAGACACATTAAACGAGCGGATGGAAACACTAAAGGCGGGGGCCTCCACATCTGGCAGGGACAGGTGGTGCTGCAGGATCGAAGGATGTGCCACAGAGCCAGGCCCGATGGGTGTCCTACTCCCACGGGCTCCCCGTGGTCTGCGAGGGCCCTCGCGTTCCCCCAGGTGAGGGCACAGGAAGCCATGGGAGAGTGTGGACGCACGGAGGCCTGGCTGAGGACGCAGGGGCTCCAAGGGAGCGGGGCTGAAGGGACAAAGGCTCAAAACCGGGGGCGTAGACTTCAGCCCCCAGGACAAGGTCTCCCAAAGATGCCCGAGGCTCACCGGCCGAACGACCGCCGCCGCCCCCAGTGTCCAAGGCCCCCTGCCGCCCCTTCCCGGCCCTCCACGGCCACCTGGACGCCACCTGGACGCCACCTGGAAGGCAGAGATAAGGACGAAAGAAGGTTCTCTACTCAGCCCCACGCGCCACACAGCCGGTCCTCTTTTTCTCCGCGTGCGTGAGAAAGATTTCGGCAGTGATTAGAACAACTCCTCACCTATGTTCAGCACTTTCTGACTTTTAAATCACGTCAGCATCCTTATTTCACAGGCTCCGGCGCTTCTGATGAGGCCCACTTCGTGAGGAAAGGCCACATGGGTGCAATTATTCAGATTTCAATAGAGAACCACGTTCCTGTTTGTATGAAGCCGTTTCGGAAACCACCCTCGCAGATGACAAAAATTTTTTCCCCCCACATAATAAAATTCTCAAGACATTGTAGCAGTTAATGCTAAAACTTTGTGCATGCGGTCTTTTGTCATGTTATATATTAAAAAAGTGAATTTTGCTTACAAATGCCAAGTGAATGAATGCAGTCGGTTAATGATTCATCTCTCGCTCTAAGACATCCCCGGCGTTCCTCCAGCGCCCACGCCGGTCACTCTGACACAACACGGCCAGACCAAGTTCCTCATCCAACCGACGGGTCTGGGACTGCTCAGTCATTAGCATACAAATTACCACAAGTAAAGGACAGGTGACTACGCCTCCCCTGCCTGTAGGTCACCCCGTTAGAGGAACACCAGGCACGTTTCTGTTGAAGCACACTTATTCGGGGAACATGGAATCTAACTCATGGAGAGGTTCGATGCTGGCCTTTTGAACCTCTACCTATTTTAAACACAGCCTAGAATTTTAGAAGTGAACCTCAGGAGCTTGCCAGTGCTCCCTGCTTATCAAGTAGGAGAAGAGGGTTGGGTGTGGCGGGGGGGGGGGGGCAGGCGAGGTGGGGAGTTGTGGTTGGAGGGAAGGGGAGCCCTCGCTGACCCTCCCCTGCTGTGTCTCACCACGTAACACACCCGCCTTCCCGCTCTCAGCAAGGAGTCTGGTTTTTCACAGGATGTCCCGCGCCCTCTCTTGGGGTCCTCAGGGAATCTGAATTTCCCACACATCTGTCCCGGTTTCCTCTCGCCACCCCACGTGGCCACCTTCCTGCACCATCTGGTCCAGACTTTGCTCCAGATCAGCACGTTCCTCTGCCGATGACCCTCCTAGGTGTCCGAGCTGCTGGGCACTGCTGACCAGGACTCAGCCTTCAGGTCGGCCTCTGACCTCCTCACTTACAAAGGGCACTTCTGGGGCTCAGTGGATTGAGTGCTGGCTGCTGAACCAAAGGGTTCGATTCCCAGTCAGGGCACAGGCCTGGGTTGCGGGCCAGGTCCCCAGTAGGGGGCGCGTGAGAGGCGACCACACATGGATGTTTCTCTCCCTCCTTTTCCCCTCTCTCTAAAAATAAATAAATAAAATCTTTTAAAAACACAAAGGGCACTTGCTGTTCCTTCCGTGCCCCGGGACAGGGGCCAGACCCTAGGAATACCTCCAGCTACTGGCCTAGCAGCCGAGTGCTCCACAGACTGGCCATTCTCTGTGCCGCTAATTCATCCACCGTGTGTACTGAAAAGCAGCGATCGACTGGAAACCAAACCGAGCAAAACACAGAGGCGCGTTGGAGCCACTTGCCTGGCCTGCCTCCACGCGCATGCCCCCACCCCCCGCAGCTGGCCTCCGGGACCCCTTAAAGTCCGGAGCC